AGAAAAAAGACGTATTATTAGCATCGATGGATACACACCCAATATGCCTAGCTCGTTAATCAAATTTTTCCAATTAGCGTCTGACTTTTCCGTAACAAGATAGCAAACAACGGCTAGCACGCGAGTCCTCGTCGTCGTCACTCGAAACTTCAACAAATCGTTTGCGGACTCACCATATTATCATTCACCACACCCTTCTCTGATTTCTTTACTTATCTAACTTCCTAGAATAGACGTACTGCGACTAATTGGTAGTTGAATATAGTAGTAACGAACTGACGTTAATTTAGTAAATTTAAAGTAGTTAAAAAAAGATTCACATTTATTTATTTCAAAGAGAAAGTTAAACATCATCATCATCATCATCATCATCATTATCATCATTGTCATTGTCATAAAATGTCAAAGTCGTAAAATTTATTTTTTCTTAAGGACAATTTTTCCGGAGTCGCGAGTTCGAGTCCCGCTCTCCGACATCGAACGAGATAGCATGCCTGCTCCGTCGTGGCTTGAGAGCGTTTGCGCCCCGTGTTTTTATCGGTAAGGCTTGCTTCGTAACTCGCCACGATGATCTTAGGACGGCGTAGGACTGATCACCCTACCCTGAAGATCTTTCGATCAAGAAACGTAACTTAGGCAATTATACGCTGAGCGTAGCCGGTTGCGAGGTTTGGTCTCTCGAGACCGTAAGTCAAAAATTTATTTATTTTATTTTAAGGACAATCTTTCAGTTGTAAGTATCGTTCGAACCTATTTTTATCTCTTTCATCATCATTATCATCATCATCATTGTTATTTAATCCAATTATCAATCTCATCTTAAGGGTAACTTTTTATTTTCAAATCAAATTATAACCTATCTTTATCTCTTTCATCATCATCTTCATCATCATCTTCATCATCATTATCATCATCATTGTCATCTAACCTTTTTAATAATCTCACTTTAAGGATAATGTTTTTATTTTAAAGTGAAAGTCTATTTTAATAACTGTCATCATTATAATCATCATTTTTAATTGTAATAATTATCCAATTTTATTATTACATTCTTACAACTTTTTTTTTTTTATTTTTTTTTTTTTTTAATATGAAATAAAATTTGTGCAAATCTTTTTAATGATTATCATAATTATTGGCATTTATTTTTGTGAGTATTATCAATTTAATCTTCTTCAATTCATCCTGTTTCTTTATATTTTTCTCACTTGCCAAACGACTAGCCACCTCTCTGTACCTGGTACTAACTAATCGGAACTAGTTACGTAAGTCGAGGACAACACAACACAACGAAACGAACTGACTGACTGACTGCCTACCTGACTGACTACCTTTTATACACGATTCCTTTTACTCTTGGCACAGCTATCATCACGAGTTGTTCGGACTTCAACTCACGTTGACTCCAATAACGTCTTCCTTTTCTTTCTCTCTTTTTCTCTTGTCTCTGTCCTTTTCTTTCTCTTTTTTTTAATTCTTTTCCGGCTCGCAGGAACTACCTTTTAACCACTGTCCTCGTTGAACCAACTACGCTTGGTTGCCCTCGATCGTTCGTGAAACTTTTTCGATGCCATCATTTTTTTCCCTCTTCTTTTCTCTTCCCCCCTCCCCCACCCTCCTTTTTTCTTAATTTCTTTTCAGTTTTATTCATTATTTAGGCAATTGATTTATCATAATAGTTCTTTCATTTTTATTTTTTTTTTATTTCAAATTTAAAAGCAATTTGTTCAAATTTTTAAAATATTATTTTATTCGTTGAAAATTGTCCTAATTAAATATGTGAAAGCATTAGCAAACGAATAAAAATAAAATTTTTTTTTTAAATCGTCCTAATTTGTATCACTAGAAAAAAAAAATGAATTATTTTAATGGAAACCACATTTTTTTGTAATTTTTTTTTGTAAAGGTCTAGGTCGTCACAATAAAATTAAAGAACTTATGATAGTTACAAGGACTTAAGCGATATTATTGTGAATTCGAACGTAGTGGACTCTGTGTAACAATGAGTGAAAGTTAACGTTGAGATTGCTTGACGAAAGCAAACGTTGTCCTCGGATCAAAATGTCATTTTCTTTCCTTCTAATCGTAGATTTCACTTCAAATTACTTGTAATTTTTTTTTATAGTATTAAATACATTTTTTAATTTAATTTTTTATTCTATGTAAGATAATTTAAAAAAAAGAAAAAAACAAATATTATACAAATGCAAAAGTATTTCGTTAATACATAAAATTTGTAATAATAATTATATTTCTTTTCATTTTCTTTTATTACTGGAATTATTACTATTATTATTATTATTAGTAATAGTAGTAGTAGTAATAATAGGTGTTGTTTATTTTAGCTCACAACCAAGAAACTAAGATTAATTTAAATATGGTATTTTCCCTTTTACAATATAAATTATATTTTTTTCTTTTTTTTTTTATGCAATATTTCCATCAATTTTGATTCCTTTTTCAGAATCATTCACACATTTGTCTTTCATTTCATTAATACTCCAATATAGTTTATTTTAAATATTTACATTACTTTATATATATAAAGAAAAAAAAGCAAATATCAAATCAATCGTATCGAAAGAAGAGGATAAAACTTGTTTGCATAAATCTAGCTTGTGAGTTGTCTGACAGTTAAAGGCCGTAACCACTTCCTTGCACTTACGTGCAACCTGTCTTGGAACGTTCAAAGCTTTATTAAAGGCGGTGATAGTAGAAACGGCACGTGAAACGCGCAAATAATCGCCATTATACACACACGCACACATACACGTGCGCGCGCTTATATACGTACGCAAATCCATCTGCACAAATACCCCCCCCCCACACACACACACACACATGAACTTTTAGAAAGCTCGAAAAAAGATAGATGAAACATAGGAAGATGAGAAAACTGACTCGCTAATTCTTCCACGTTTTTACAATACTTTGAACTTTTACAGTCGTTCATCCCTTACAAAAACCCACCCTTCTCTACCCTCCTTCACCCCTCACAAACATACAGACAGGTAGTCATATATAGACACTTTTCATAATCACAGACGTAAAATTATTCGTGAAAGCAAAGACGAGTTGACGATCGAAGTAGCGTTTTTCGTGCTTTCCGACGTGCTGTGACATGTTCCTCGAACAATGTTGGAAAGAGTTAACGGGGCTGAAGGGCCAGGAGTGGAGAGGAGGGTGTGTTGGTAAAAAACACGTTTTAGAACGAATCTGTAAGAATGAGAGAAAGAGAGAGAGAGAGAAAGAGAGAGACACAAAAGTATCATTCCAGTTGGAAGACAGAATCCAAGCTTTGTGTTCTGTATACAGTGGAAACGGTCGCAGTTCTGTCAGACAAAAGTAGAAACGCAGACGGCCAGGCCCGCTTCTTCTTCACTCTTTTTATTTTTTTTCCTCCTTTTTCTTTTTTTCTATTTTTTTTCTTTTTTTGTTTTTTTTTTCTTTTTACATGGAAACTGTAATTATGGTAGCGAACGTGTATATGTTTGTGTCTCATCATGAATGTATGCTTTTTGTTTGGCAGTATGTTTGTGAGAGTTCCTTTGAGGTTTACGATGATGATTTAAGGAAAAATGTCATCGTTAAATTCGACAAATTATTTCAGAGATTTTTCTTTTTGTTTTCTTTTGTTCAGAGAGAAAAAAATCAAAGATACTTTTTGATTTCTTTTTTGGCTATTAAATTATTTAAAATTATTATTCATTATTTTATTAAAAACTTATTGTTATTATTAACAAATAAATGGGACTAAAGTTTTGTAGATAAATTCTATACTTTGTAATTTAATTGAGTAATGATGTGTTGTTAAATTAAAAATAAATTAAATTATTTGTTTTGTTTTCTTTTTTCTTTTTTGTTGAAATTGTGATACGGAGAATTTTTCTTTACAATTACATATAAAATATGTTATACTTATTTTATTTTTCTTTCCTAGCGTTAGATTATCAAAGCTGACGTATCGGTCCATGAAATACGGGCTTATAAAACTAGTGCATCGATTTTTTGCCGTTCTTCTGCGTATATCGAGGAATTCGAAATAGATTCGAGAGATGAAACTTTCTACTGAAATTAACACGAAAGAAAAATTCTATTCGAACTATGCATTTAGTTTCTAATATAAAAAGAAAAAAGAAACAAAGAAAAGAAAGAAAATAAAGTTAGATCTCAATTTCGTTTCTTTCTTGTTTTCTACGCGATCGCTCAAATGGTCATTATTGAATCGTTATCGAGAAAACCTTCATCTTACATCAAATTTATAATCTCTCACATATTTATTTATTCTTTTTGTTTTTTTTTTATTCGAAATAATCAACAATAATTTTTTATTTGATTTAATGAAAAAAAAATAAAAAACCAAGCTGCTAACTCGTAATCGTACATTATGTCGACTAAAATAACAAAGTAATTAATAATATATTAAATAAAAAAGCAAGACAACAAGATACGATAGGGCGTTATATCTGTAATTATTATAATATAATATAAAATATAAATTATCCCAAAATAATAATAAAAAATTAAATAAAAAAAAACTCTATATAATTTATAACCATAACACTTAATCGTAAATAGACACAGTAAATCATAGGACAAAGATTATAAATCTTCGAGCTATGGTAAGAAATAAAAAAAAAATGGATAGTAAGAAAAGAAATAAAAAAGAAACGGAAAAGAAGTAGCGCTTGATACTGATTTGATCTTTTTTGCGAGAAAATTTTTTCCAAGATTGAAAGATCTACATCGATCATAGGACACGATGGATATAGGAAATCGCGATCAAGACCGTAACGAGCTCGACTAGGCACGAGCCTGTAAAGAACCCGCGTCGCGTCACCGTCCACAAGCATATACAGAAAAAGAGTAAGATAGATAAAGTTGAATAAAGATAGATAGAGAGAAAGAGAGAGAGAAAGGGAAAGAGAGTGAGGTGGGGTACTCTGAACAGAGTACACTTGGTGGTTTCGAAGGCTCATACCGAGTTCAGCACAGCCAGTCAAGTTGAAACCGCGAGAGAGCTGCGAGTATCTAACTGTACGAGTTCTCGCAATCCTCAACTTCTTTTCCTCTTCTCATCTTTTTTTCTTTGTCTTATCATCTTCAAAAAAAAATCATTTTTCAAACATTTCTTTCTTCTCTCACTTTATTCCCTTATTTTCTTTCATCCATTCTAAGTGGTGATTGGTGTTGCATCTTTGATGACAAAGTGACTCAAAAAGTTAAGAAGAAGTTTTTTTCTCTCTGCTAAATTTTTACGTTCGTTAATATTCCTTTTTTTTAATTTCTTTAATTTTTTTATTTTTGTTGAGTGTTCACAAGTGTGTAAGTGTTGATGTTAGTGATACTCGAGTGTTATCGAGTGTTTCGTGTACGTGTCAGCACAACGAAAATATCAACAAGGTTTCTATTGCTACGAAGATTCTTACTTTAGCGCCACTCCAATTCTTCTGATTTTTGTTTTTCTTATTTTTTGGAAATCGTTTCGAGAGATTCCTAAATGTTTTTTTTTCTTTTGTATGCATTTTTGGCTCCATCTTTTTATTTTGTTTGGCATGTCTCTCAAAGTTTTGTTGTTGTTTTTGCTTAGGAAAGTTATAGGCAAAGAATCGATTATCCGTCAAAGTTGCTTTCGTATTTGATAAACTTTCGATATTTGATCAGAAGTTTAAATCTATTTGAAATATAGTTCTATAATATTTTGAACCGATTTTTTAATTTCAAATAAATAAACACTTTGTATATATAACAGTTCTATAATAATAATAATCATGCTTTATATCAAGAATTAATAAAATTTAAAAAAATTCATAATCACAATTGAATACTGTTAATAATGACGAAAGGAATTATTTAATTATATTTGTCGGAAGGAGGATTGTGTTGACGTAAAACGTTCTTCATTTAAATAATAAAATAATTTATTTTTTTGTTCTCTAGTATGTCACAACGATGAGACGTTCGTCGGAGGTCATTTTAAACGCGTTTGCCATAAATTTATGATAATCGTCGAATGTTAAAATTGGCGCCGTGCGTCACGATTTTTACTGTCACACAAGACACGAGTCTGCTGTTTGTATTACTTACTTTGCTCGCTTGCTTGCTTAACTTGTGACACTAACAACACGTTGGTTCCACTTTCGAAATACTTTATGAAGATTTCATATCGATTTATGTAGTGCAAAAGAACGACAAATTCCTCCTTGATTCTTGACGATTATCCTTATCTTTCTAAAGAAAATTAACATTATTTTTTCACTTGTCGCAAATGTTTTCTTTTTTTTTTTAAAGAGTAAACAAACAAAATTATTTTATCATATTTATGATGAGTCTGTAATTGCTTTTTTTTATATTTTTGTTTTATTGTTAGACTACAAATTACGTAAAAATAAATATAAACCAGTTTTATTTTTATATAAATTATATATTTATAATTTATTACAAACAAAATGTATGATTTTTCTATATAAGAAATGAGCTTTTATTTTACTTTGTATTAAATTTATCGAACGATTAACGAATTTCGATATCAAATTGATTGATAACGAAAGATTTTCGATAAAAATAAAAAAATAAGTCAATACGAAGAAAATTAATTTACTTTTTTTCCAGAGACTTTTCTTAAGCTTACGGTTCAAAGTAATTATTTTGTCAATAAAATTATAATTTTGCAGTTCGAAAAAGTAATTGATCTCAGAAATGACGTAATAAAGAAAAACGTATGTATTTGTCGAAGAATCGAAGCATATTTAAATTTGATAATATTCGATGAGTTTAGGGAAAGCGAAATGAATTTCTAAGTGAACCGTTTAAGTATAGGTGTTTCGATTCATTTCGGATTTATGACTTTGGTTAAATCTGTTCCCGTTTGTACATTGTTGTTATTCTGACATATCCTTTTTGCAGATTCTTATTTATCATTCCAATAGCAATAGGGGGAATATGTCAGGGTTGAAAAAGATCGTTGCGAGATCATTTTACTCTCGAATCGGTTAGCAACGTAATGTGAAGCGTGTTAATCGTTATTATTTTCTTGACACCTTATATATTATATTTTCTCCCTCTCCTTCATTCTATTTATAAATTTATATTATATATTCTTAAATACCATTTCTATATATGAATTATCACATAACTTCTTTTTTATTATAATATTAAAGATTATTATTTGTATAAATAATATCATGGTAATCAAAATTATACAGGCACGTAATTATTTTTAATTTGTATTTTAATATTTCTTCTTAATATATTTATATAAATAGATAGATAAGTGGGGTATTGCGTATAAAATTAATACATCCTCGTTGCAAAGTTGCAAAAAATTAGATATAACGTAACACATTAAACCAAAGATTTTAAACCTTTTTTTACACTTTTTTGCATTTTATATACTTTCTTATCTATTTGCAATTTACGTTGCGTTTAATATTTTTTTTATACTTCTATTTAGTTGACTGTAATTATTTATTATTTAATAATTATTATAAAAATTAATAATATATATTCAATTTTTAATATTTAGATGGAAGAGTTTCTTATATATAATTTTTAATTTTTATTTTATTTTTTATATTTTATATTCGAATATTTTTATTAGTATTTGGTAAAGTACCTTTAAATATTTAAAATTTCATAATTACCATATATGAATATATAAATGACCAAGTCATCATATAAATATAAATAACTTATTAATAAGTAAGCATATATATATATAGAAAGAGAAAGATAAAGAGAGAGAGTTTGACTTTCGAAGGAAATTTTTTCGAGTTGACATAGTTTTCATGAATTATATATATATAATACAAGCAATATAACTAATGTATTCTTATCGTAGTCGTCGTAAGAGACTAAAATTCATCGTTCCTTGGATTCTATTTCGAGGTAGAAAATAAAAATGATATGAAAAAGGCCATCCGAGCAAAGCAATCTATCCAACGAAAGCTTTGAAGATAACCACGAAATGGATCTTTGCCACAAGTGAAAAAAAGAAGAAAGATATCATAGAAAAAGATACCACACAAACATACACAAATGGATTTATTTTGAAAGAAGCTAAAAATATGGGCTGACGGAAGGATATGGTAGATAGAACTGAATACGTCCAAATTTTGCAAAAAAAAAAAAAGTATAATAAACATAATTATTTGTTCATTTGTTAATAATTTATTTATTTATTTTAGTTATTTATAATTAGTTTTATTTCCTCTCTTTCTCTCTCTCTCTCTTTCTTTTTTTCTTTCTTTCTTTCTTTTCTATAAGTAAAGATATATATTTCTAATGTAATTATCAATAATCAATATCTTCAAACGTGGGTTGAATGTTTAGATAGCACAGGTGAATCGATCCGAATTCTACTTTGATAGAAGTTGTCGGTTAAAGTAATTAACTACGAAAAGGTCTCCTTTCTACACAACGACGACGTATACTCGCTATTTATAAAATGTATCCTGTTAGACGAGTTACTTTATAAATCATCAAACAAAACCAGATTTATTCGCTTCGTTTAACTTTTTATATTTGTTTGTTTTATTTCACTCTTCTTTTTTTACTGTTTCTTATTTATATCATTAAAGAAAAGTAAAATCTAATTTTTTGATATTTAATATTTTTTATTTAATTATTTTTGTTTATTTTTAATAATTATTATACTACGAAAAATCAAATCAAGTTGCATTTGTTGTTATTCCTTTAAATTTAATCATATTTTAAATCCATTATCATACTGAATTAATAAAAAGAAAAATTAGAAAATTAAATGTAGTAAAATTGTTAAAATTAATGGGATTTAAAGTAAATTTAAGTTTTTAAAATACAAATATAAATATACAGTATATGTTTAATTCATGTTTTAAGGTATTATATAGAGAATTAAAATAGTATACCTAAATAAAAATGTATTTGTATATAAGTATTAGAAAAACACGAAACTGAAAAAAAATGAATAAATAAAAGTTTAAAAGAAAAAGAGCGAAATTGTTCTCATCTAACGTGATTCAACGACGTATATTCTTATTCTTTGTTCGTATGTTCTCATGTAGAAAAAGAGAAAAAATAACATTAAATAAAAGAAAGGAAAAGAATTGGTATGACGTAAACGACTATTTCTCTCGCAAATCGTGGATGCATGCGTGGATGAATGCGTGGATGCGTATGAGTATGTGTATATGTGTGATCGGCTATTTCACTCGTGCACGCTTTAACGGTACTCACGATACTATTTCTACTACGAACGTGAAATCCACGTGTTCGATGCGTGTACATAAGCATGTCGTGTCAAACGTGATTATCTTGGTTCTAAAGAAATCTTCGATAAGGTTCGACCTGTTGTTTTTAAAAATGTGTGCGCGTATGTTTTATCATTCCTTTTACTTTATTTAGCAATCGATTTCTAATTTTCTTTTATATATATATATATATTAGGGTGGGTCAAAAAAATGACTTATTTTTTTTTTTCAAATGCCACGCAAAAATGGGTTCCTAGACACCTTAAAACAATTCTCACTCAATATGAGCTCTTAATTTTAATAGGAAGACCCTCCGCATCGCAATTTTTTACTTTTTTTTCAGTTCAATAGATTAAAATTCATACCTCATTATTTATTGATTGTACAGAAAAATGTTTTAGACGAATTTTGTAGGAAATTTAATGCTCTACAAAAAAGGTATCTTATAT